TAATCTAAGTTTTTCTATTTGTTTTTAATTTTTTTGGGGATTTTGACTACTTGACCGGTTAGTCTGGTTAACCGCTCCGATTAGTCCTGTTCCGGTTCGAACCGCTCCCAACCTCAAGACCAGTTAACCGTTTCGGATTGATTTTATGAACATTGATTAAAACTCCAAAATATAGCGTTATTTGAAAAAATCCAAGCCTTTTTTTTATTTTTTTGGACAAAAATAAGAAACAAGCATGGAAATTGAAATGTCTACTACTAAACCGGCAGGAGAGATGTTCAATTTAAGAGTACTGCAATGGCAGATGCCCTTGCAAAACAAGGTTTACCCCGTACAGTCAATACGTATTGATACATGCTAGTGATATTTGTGGCTATCTGCTTCTTAATACCCATGAAGGATGTAGTTTCTATAAGGCCTAGGCTTCATGAAAACAAAACAAAGCCTCACGTCATATCCTCGTCTAGTAAGTACTTTGAGCATCGAAAATAAAAAATCTATATAATGGTTGTAAAATCAAGTTTCAATACCAATTATGTAATTCAAAGTTAAAAAAATAGTACAGATCTTGTGAATCTATGAACACTTAGTTTTAAGGTGAAATGTACAGTCTAGATAATATGTTACAATTGCACTAGTATTAGGGTTGAAATCGTTTTGTTTTTTCACACCCATAGTAGTCAAGACCGAGATGATAAATTCAGAGGTTCTCTGATACCAAAACTAATTATTTTTAGTGAATTTGAGGTGAAGCTTGTACTTATTTTGGTAGGATTGTAGCCCTATCAAACCATTTTCCCTTTGTAAATTGGAAACTTGATTAAATACTAACCACATTAGCCTGCGATTGATATCACAATATGATCGGAAATCACATGTTACAGACATCGAAGAGTATGTACTCAGACAAACTTGAATAATCCACATCAGTTATAAAAAACAAGAAAAATTGTATGCTATAAGACTACTTACTTTGGATTGCATACTATAAGACTACTTACTTTTAGTACAAGAGGTCATAGACACTCTTAGTACACTCTCAGCCATTGCATCTAAAATCTTACAAATGGAAGTGTCACGAGATCCGAAAAAGTTTATTTTGGACTTTGTGCCCAGCAATAACACATCTCCAATCACCTTATTTCACATCGAACAATCAATAATGATTGTGAATCAAAATAAATAATCTCATAATATAGATTTCCTATAAAAAAAAAAAGAAAAGAAAAAAGGGTGTCCATCAATGCTGATATTCTATGGTCGCATTCTGCATTCCTTTCGCATTCTGTATTCTTTTGTGTTTGCGTATGCTAGGTTCATCATCCAACACTTTTCCAAATTTAAAAGCGTGGATGGGCCTGCATAGAGAGAGAGAGCTTTAATCAATCATGGGAGAACCACATATATGCTGGCACTAAAATAATAGAGTTCTCATCAGAAATACTCAGGAAATCAACACACTGAGCTGATGCAAGGAGCAGCATGTATTTGGTCTCACGCCATGCCTAATGCATCACCAATGCAGATGGACACCTTGAATCCGAACTAAATAATCAAATCTCAGATTTCAAACTAGAAAAAGGCAAATAAGTTATCCTCTTACAATAACTGAGGGCAGGGACCCCATATGTGATGGTACCTCATACACACAGACAAACCTAGGGCCAAAGCCCCAGAGAGTCTGTGAGAGAACATGAGAGAGAGAGAGAGAGAGAGAGAGAGAGAGAGAGAGACGTAGTT